ACTTATTGAGAGGAGAGAGAGTAGTTACAGGGGAATAGTAAATGAAGAGTAAAGACTGTCTTCCTGGTTGAATTTACGCTGAGCTTCATTAGTCCTATTCAGCCACTTGGTAACAACCATCGTTTTTCAGACACGTCAACTCTTCAGAAATCACCAGTGGGGTCTCTGCTGATGGATTTAATGTCGTAGAAGAAAACGTGATCCGTCTCTTAAATGTGTTTCAACCACAGACCTTATTTCCAGATATTTTCCTAAATCCTATGGAGGAATCCCGTTGCTTTTTGGCGAAGGAACCGGAAGTGGTAAAATGCTAACTTACGTCCGGTTTCAGGACGTGTCATTGCGGCACTCTATTAGCGACACAAACTGTTGGTAACGCAAGGAGGATGCAGATGTAATTTGTGTTTATTAAGAGAGTTTCCAGTGTGAGATTAACACTGGATCTGTGTTAGAAACATTTCTTGTGTCTGCGGACGGGTAAAGTAAAGCCACACATGCTCACACACTCACCCCTGTGGGCTGAGGTCCAGGGAGTCGTCCATGCTGTGCTGGAAGCTGGGCGAGCCCAGGTCAGGAGTTGCATTGTTAGCAGATGTAGTGGATGCAGTGCTGATGGTGGTCGTGCACAAACTGGCAGTACCACTGGGGCAAGCCTTTGGGGGACTAGTGACTAGAAAGCTCTCAGACTCGGACAGGTTCTTCACCTGGTGCATCACACCTGGAGGAGGAAGCAGAGAGACAAATGTTAGAAATGGTCTCAAGCTTTTAAAGACATAGCAGATTGGAACGGGCTAAGAAAAACATTTTGAAATGCACTGGAAAGGAAAACACTTACAGCAACACAATTTACAAACTTAAACATGTTAACTAAGAGCAGGAGAACTTTGTAGGCTTTAGATAGGAGAGACATTAATGTGTCCTCTGTGGAAAGGGATGTCTAGATGGACAAATAAGTACCACGCTCTATTTTCGGGGTGATTCAAAAATGACAACGATTTGCAAGTGGAAAAATTCTGCTTTAAACAATGAGATTTCTAACAAGGTGGCTCCATGGGGTTATACACTACCTTCTCTCCTGAAATAAACACTGAAGACATCAGGCAGCTTCTGCATGAGGATCTCAGCCATCTGCAGAGACCCCACTACAATCTTCAAGTCCTGGCTGGACAGCATGGAGGCGATGTGACTGGGACAAAAACAAGAAGAAGTCCATTTATTTTCAATTGAAAGACTTACTTGTTTTTCCTTTGTGTCTTCATCTTGCATCAGATCCTGCTTGTAATGTTAAAGTGAATAATAGCTTGAAGCTGTTGTTACCTGGACACAGAGTGGTTCCTCAGCACATCCTTCAGCAGCTCTGCATCAGCAAAGAAGATGATCCTGAGGATGGCTCTAAGGCACTTGTGTCTGACAGCAGGGCCGGCTGACGAGCTGTACACCTCGTACAGGACCCCGAACAGAGTTTTGATAAAGCACTTTGCCAGCTCGGGGTCATCCTTCATCAACTGGGCTCGTGCGTCCTCTCGACGAACCTCCTGGTGACCCCCTGCAGACGGACAGCAAACAGATCACAATTACTCTCTAAATCACGGTGTCACAACACAGAATCTGGATGGAGAAGCTGCGTTACCCCTAGATTCCACCGGGTCCGTCTGCGCCGCGTTACGGCCGCGGCGTTCACAGCGATCACAGCGACTCTAGTCAAAGGGTGCTATTCCACCAGACACGCCGCGTTACGGCTAGAAGCGTCCCAGAAGAGTCTCGGCGCTGGGTTCCGCTAAAAATAGGCGGCTGGTTTATTTTCGACCAGCGAGGCGTTGCATAGCGCCAGACAGGAAGTGGACCGGTCAGAGCATCCACTCAATCCACAAAATAAACTCATTGTTTACAGACCCTGTCCCTCCGTAGTCTTTCAAGTAGGAGGAGAAATGCCAGCGTTCTCCTCCGGTTTACAGACACTGTAAATTATATATAGAATAAAGATGATGATGAACGCATTTTTTAACAACTAAAATACAGCAACACATCTTTGATTCATGTCGTTTACAACTGGACTATTACAATTATTATTAACTTTGTCTGCACAAAAGTAGTCTGTCCAGGAAATATGCCCAAATCAACAAAAACTGCGAGCCGGCAGGCAAGACGCTCCGCTTCTGAAACGGTTGGGTATGACGCTGTAGGAGGTCGGAACAAAACCGTGGCGCAGCTGTAACGCGGCGCAGACGGAGCCGGTGGAATCCCGGGGTGACACACATGAGGTTAACACATGCACACAACTGGAAAAAAACACTTCAACAGACAGACTGCAGCTTGCTGCTCCGTCTCAGATTAATCAGCTGTAATCTCTCCCTTAGCGAAGGAAAAACTGACATCAACTTGCAAGAACGCAAGGAAGGTGCAACGACTTGTAGGCCTGTCGCGATAAGCAATTCATCGACTTATCGTACGGTAAATAAAAATGAACTCGATAACTTTTCTGACCTCGATAAATTGCCATTTACATGCGTGTTTGTTTACATAAGGAAGTGACCAGCATTTTAGCCAGGGTCTGCCGGCCAGGCGCGCTGTGAGGGGCGGGGCTCACACACAGCCAAGTCAGGACACTCCGCGTGCAGCAGCGTAGCAGCCAAATGAATAATATAGAGACGAGCAGGAGACAACGTGTGACTTACTCGAGGGGAATTTGAAGTTAAATGGAATTGGTTGCAAAACTCCATCTCCGGTGTGGGAATATTTTGGATTCAAGACAAATCAATGAGGCGAACCTACGGACTTGAATGAGCAGGGCGGTGTGTCGCATTTGTTTTAAAAAGGTTGCAACAAAAGCTAGCAATACGACCAACCTTAAACTGCACCTGAAACACAACCACCCCATTCCGTGTTCCCAGCTGGGAGCAAACACGGCCGCTGGAGGTGGAGAGCCCCCACCTTCCCGGCAATATTATCGTTTATCGCAATAATTTCCGTCAAAATGTAGCGTCCAAACAAAATGAATTATCGTGACAGGCCTAACGACTTGCACTCATTAAGTGTGTGGCGATGTACACGATAAACAAATTACAATGCTGAAGTTCACCTAAAGAATAACCAACCTATGAGAGTGAGAAAAAGATTTTAAGATTAAGTACGACACACTGTCATCTTCACACACATCTCTGGTCTGAAAAGATGTGCATTACCTGTGTTGGGGTTGGCAAGAGGATTGGGTTTCCTCTGGATACCACGTGCTGTTCCTGTGTCTTCATTGATCTGCTGCATAGAGTTAAAGTCAATTGTGTACACACGGCCCAGGGTTGACAAGCTGATCTCATCCTCCCCGTTCTGGTGTGCTGTCTGCAGGGCAAGATAATCACCAGATACACCCAGCATCAGTATCCCAGGCCGATAAGCCCCACATTTGTGTGTGTGTGAGTAAATGTATTGAGAGATGCTCATACACAGTAAATAGACTGAATGTTGTCAAGATATGCAAAATGTCAATATTGTTGTGTGTGTAAGAGGTCCAAAATGACTGAGTTTTAATATTATTTTTAATTTTTTATATTTCAACTAGGGCTGTGCGATTATGGTAAAAATCATAATCACGATTATTTTGGTCAATAATTGATATGACGATTATTAAAAACAATTATCCACTTACTGTGAAAACGTCCATTTATTTAAGGAAAAAAAATGGGAATAATATGTTTTTAACAGTTGATTACCCTGAACTTTAAGTATAATTCAACTGAAAAACCAATAAATTAAAATAAAATTTAAATAATAATAAAAAATAAAAACAATCGTTTTATTTATCGAGATTAAAATACGATTAATTGCACAGCCCTAATTTCAACATTGATGATATATATTGATGTATTCAAGCATTTTGAGGTGTAAGCGATACACAGAGTGGGAGATGGATATATACCTCAATAATTCGGCTGTCGATGCGGTTGTAGGGATGCCACAGTCCGCGGTCGTCCCTCCACTGCCAGATAGCGCCCTCTGTGGTCTGAGCGCTGCCCTTCTTCAGCATCACATCCACCGCGAAGATGCCCTCTCTGGGAAGGCAGGGCATCAGCTCACTGCAGGGAGAGGAGGGGGTTAGAGAGAGATATACAATGTTGTCTAATTGATCATTTTTCTTTAACCCTTAGATGCATAAGTGGGTCTTTTTTGACCCGGTGAGGTGGTTTTCGTGAAGTATCTTTGTAATTACCATAATTTTCGGACTATAAGGCGCACCTGAATATAAGCCGCAGCAGCTAAATTGAATGATGTGTACATATATAAGCCGCACTGGACTATAAGCCGCAGGTGTTTTAATGTTTAATTACCATATGTAAGGGTTCGTGCACAGAGGGGATTGTCGGGAAAGAGATGGCTGTTTGAGGAAGCTCCCATTTATTAACATTTCAACAAACAAGTTGCATATTTGCATAACGTATTCAAGTGTTAGCATTGCTAACACTTGAATACGTTATGCAAATATGCAACTTGTTTGTTGAAATGTTAATAAATGGGAGCTTCCTCAAACAGCCATCTCTTTCCCGACAATCCCNATTGTAAAACGATGTTGATTCCTTGAAAAGCCCTATACAAATATAATGTAGTATTATTATTATTATTATTATTATTATTATACTGACAGGTATCAGATCTTGCTGTGTAAAATAATCTTCCTGAGAGGTGTCACGTGTAATGTAGTCTGTGTGGTCCACAGTGAATGTATTCCTGACAGCAACAGGTGATAAGAATCAAAGGATCCCATAGGAAATGCCTGCGGGTCATTTTTGACCCACTTATGGAAGCTAGGGGTAGAAATACAATTTCTTAAAATGTAAATTTAAAATGTGAAAGGCATGATATCCAAAACATGTTTTTTGAGGAATAGCTGGAATATGAAAATATAAAAAAATGTAATTACAAAGATACTTCACGAAAACCACCTCACCGGGTCAAAAAAGACCCACTTATGCATCTAAGAGTTAAAGAAAAAAATCATGTCGCCCAGCCTCACCAACCTCTCGGCTTCNTTTACAATATAAGGGAAGGTTAGGGTGGGGGGTATAGGACTATCACACTAGATCAACCGGCATGGATTGATGGGGGGTGGGCTATGAGTAGAGAAGAGGAGAAGAGATGAGTTTTGAAAAGGGACTGGAATACTGTGAGGGTCTCAGAATAGCGGAGATCTTTGCATCAATATGTTCAAAACGTTTTTTTGAAAATGTAAAAAAAAGAAGTGATTTTTCTTAACCAAAATGACGAAAATGACAAATGGCATAAAAACACATTATTCTAATACGGGTCCTTTTTGACCCACTTATGGAAGAGTGTAGGGTCCAGTCACTCGTGCATCTAAGGGTTAAACTATTTGACTCAAATGATTATCTTTGTCAATCGAGTACTGCGGCAAAACTCTTGTATCCGTGTTTACAGGACACGGAGAAGCTGAACTAACATTTGTGGCACATATTATAATACAATTAACTCAGCTGACACCGTGGGACATATCTACGGGAGCTGAGTATGTTGCCTAGGGACAGTGTAACACTTTGACAGCAGGACCTGGGGATCAAACCACTAACCCTCTGACCATCCACCCCCCCCCCC